GCTGTCCTCTACCCTCTTAAGGACGAGCCGGGATCGTTTCCCTTGTCATCGGGACGATCGCCTACGAAACGTAAGTTTTCCGACCAAAAAGAGCATTTTTCCGGTCCTGTACAACTCTTTGCTTCTCTCCCGAACTTACGATGAAAGCCACACTGCTTTTTGTTAAATTTACCTTTGCCCTTTTGCTTGGGATGGATGGCGGCAACCAATTGGGCGTCCAACTTCGCACGCTGGGAGAGCGTATCCGCTTCCATGAGGAGATCGCCAAGAGACAGGGTTTCGAAACCTTTGCCCGATAGCTGGAGGCGAACCTGCGCAGGGGCATGGCGAAGGAGGCAAAATTTACGAACGTCGTCCATCGAAATGTCTTCCACCAATACTTCCACTCTAGAGGCGAAGATGGTTAGTTTTTCGTCATCAGCTGGTGATGCTTCGAAGTAAGATCTAACTCGGTCATACTTCGATAACGAAAATTCCTTAATGAGCAGCTCCCTCGCTTCTTTATAGGGAAACGGTGAATTCGATCTCGTAATGGAGCTCAAGAGAGAAGACGTAGATTCATCAACGAGGCGTAATAAAGAAGCAAACCTTTGTTCCTGAGACGTGATGGCCATCGTTTTGAGGATCACCTCCAGTTGTTCGAACCACAACTTGGGGTTAGATTTACCTGTGTCGAATGAACGGAATTCGACTTTTGGAAGTTTGGCCACGTCAGGTTTCTGAGGCTTCGTTTCGATGTCGAGAGGACCTGCGGCAATTTGAAGTTCGACAAGAATCTCGTCCGTCTTCATAGCAGAAGTGTTGCGGATCTTCCTTGCCGCTGCGAGTGTCTCGTCTGATGTGGACGTGGCAGAAATCCACTCGGAAAAGGCTTCTTCCAGTTCCTTGGCCAGTTTGAGAATGGCGGACGCGAGGATCTTAGCCGTAGTCGGCTTGCATTTTTCGTCTATTTTAATCTGAGCCGAATTGATTAAAGAAACGATGCGTTCGTTTAGACTCTCGTATTTGTCGAGTAAAACTCTCTCGTCAATTTTTTTAGGCGGCATTATCAGAAGGTTAAGTCGGTCGAATCGGGAATGGGAACAAGAGATTCGCGACTAATATGATCAAGAACCAGCGGGGTCACCAATGAAGAACGCAAGATTCTTCGTTGTGACGAGGAGACCGCTCAAGAGTAAGGAGGAACAAGAGCAAAGAACGTCCGTCCGGAACGAGAGGAAGAAGAAGAGTGTTCTGTAATTCAATCATACCATGACTCGTAGCATAGAGCGATAATCATAGAGATCAATA